ACCGCTCTTGTGTCCTGAAATGTATATCCCTGTAAACTAAATGCTCTAATGTCATGACGTAAAGCTTATTTTTCTGTTCTTTTCCATCTCTTAAGTCAATGTGCTGCATGCACCTGTGATATCACATACTTGTTGTTCTTTATTACTAGTTCCTATATAATACACTCCGTGACGTGACAGAAGCCATTTTCTCCACTAACAGATGGTCATGGGAAGTTGTCATGCTATATCCACAGGCAATTTGCATTATTATGTGCTCTTACCTACTCTTTGAATTAAATGAACCGAGATTGTGTGCAATAAAGTAGATTTAAATGCAATCAATTATAATATTTTCTATTGTATTTACATGTGTTTATCTTTCCTCTATACATTTGTTTATTAGTTCTACTATGATTATGAAAGCATAAACTGTGGTAACTATTCCTTGGTTAGTAATGGATGCTTGACAAATGGGTGAGAGGAACCTTTTTCTGGAACAAACAGAGATCAAGATGTCATTGCAATTGTCCAAAGTACAAAGCTTCGATGTTTATATGTACTGCACCATTCAATGGTAATTTCCCCTAACCTTGTGAAGCTTCCTTCCCTCAGTTCATTCCTTCACGAATAAAGCACAAGGTGACCTCTCGTTTCCATTGTTGGAAACGTGTCCCAATGTGATGCACAAGAGAACGACTGAAGGTGCATCGTGCTTGCGATTCCTAATGTTGTTGGGCTCCCAAAGTCAGCCGAACTCCCACAGTAAAGGAGGGAAAATCAGCAATGGAGTTCTCTTATGGCATCTTCTCACGGCCACTTTTCAAGTGACATTAACTCTGGTCATTTATGGAGTTAGAACGTTAGGCTGATTTACTTGGGGGCTCCACTTCACCCATTAGTGAAATTACACAAACAAACACAGCTTCCAGCAAATGTTTGGGGGCAAAATCAACTCCAACAGCTGTCAATCTTGCAATGAAAATAATGCCATGTTACTTTTTGTGGGGGGGGGGATAACGAACAGACCGTGAGAAGGTGCATCCTTTTTTTGCACCATCTTGATGTCAGGCAGACATCAACACAGATTTTGTTATTGACTGGATGTAGGTAATCATTTAAAATAAAAAATGCCATAAAGCTATGAAATGGACAGTGTTGCATTTGTTTCATTTCTCTTCAGTGTAGTGCAAAGCCATACAGACTTTATGATATTTGAATATATTTTAAATCAGTAAAATATCATGGGTAATTAAATGTTATGAAAATAGATTTAAAGCAACACAAAATACTATATGAGATACATGCAGCTAATATTTGAATGAAAACGTAATAGAATAGAGTGAAATATATATAAAAATTGGTTTAATCTGTTACTTGCAAATGAAAGATCGAAGTATAGTGATTGACATCTTAAATAAGCCGTTTACATCGTCACCGATTGATAGCCTCTACGTGCAATGTTATTTTAGTCATTAGGTAAATTTGTTTGCATCGAAAGCAAAATATTGAAAACCGACATTCCCTGGTCGAAAACTGAAATACGTTTCTATTTTAAATGCAGAATAATCGGAATACCAAGGAAACGCACGCCTCGCAGTTTTTCAAACGAACAAAATACGACTTTCCTTCAACGAAAAACCGCCCTCGGGTCCTCTACATTGCACCATAAACATCGACGCATCACAATATAACCCGAGCGCGAAGCGTGAAACAAATGCCATTTGAAAACGTTGCATAAAAACCTAAACTCCCGCAACATAACGCCTCCGACCCGCAGCCACACGAGGAAGCACTGCCGGTCACAACGACTGGAGATACCGAGTATTTTTCATTGCACGGAGTTCGGACTTTCCACACTGTAAAGTGCGGTATTCCGTGCTTTTTGAGATCCAAAGCAAAGACAGCGCTGCGTTTACAAAAGGACAAACCCCAGCTACTCACCCCCGAAATCAAAATGGGTTTAAAAGCTCCAACCGAGAAGCCCCCGAACGTGCAAACTGAACCGCAATGTCGCCTCCTCCTGAGCGCGGGGGGGTTTTGGTTGATGTCCCGCCGGAGTCCCGAGGTTAAGCTCACCGTTAGGACATTGTTCGATCGCATCGTTTGGTGGTGGGGGGCGAGTGAGCAAAGCAAAGGCGTCTCTTTCCGTCGATTCAGCAGCAACAAGGGGGGGGGGGGATCGTTACTGACACGGGTCTGGGCTGGTGAGTGTACCTGAGCCGGGAGGGGGGGGGGGGGAGAAAGGTTGCGCGCTGATAGCTCCGCCTCGCTCGGGCAAAAGAGGGAGTCTCAAGGCTGTATATAAATAAGGACCGTTTCATTCAGAGAGAGGCAACACGGAGGGGAAGAGCCGCGTCTGTCAGAGCCGCCACTGGAGCTTCACACAGGCGGGAAGAGACACGTTCAACCGGGAAAAAAAAGGGCGGGGGAGGAGGGGGGGGGAGAGAAGAGAGCAGACAAGAACAGCAGCACTCCCCCCCCCCCCCTTCCCCTCCCACCACCAGTAACACTTGCAATCCAAGCGTCGACAGAACGAGAAACGCCTGTCGCTAAAAGAATAAAACAGAGATACCGACGGAACCCGGACCACATACAGCAAAGAAGATGTTTCCAGCGGAGTGCGGAGTCAGCGGCTTCGGTAACGGGAAACAGTACCCGCCACACCTGCACTTTCATTTCTTTCACACTCATGACATGCGTCAAAGCGAATAAAAGACACAGAAACCGATGCAGGAATTCAGAGGGAGGGAGATTCGAGGAGGAACGGTGGTGAACGTAGACCCGAATTAATTCGGAGACGGTTCCACAAAGGATTCAAGTCAACCTTTCTCAGTCGGAATTAATATATTTAACGAACAGAGGCTAATCTAAACCAAAAGTTGCACCCACCGTCAAAAAAAATCTACCAAACATAAAATTCTACGGACAGACACATCACCATCTATTAATTTTGAACGAATTGCAGCGATATTCAATTTAAGTATGTCATCAAAATGATTCAATTTGACTTTACTTACGCAATTGTAAAGAAGCCCTCAAAGGTCATTAGTTTTCATAAATATTTAGGTGTTATTATCTTTATTGTAAAGCGGAAAATGCAACGTTTAATTTATAAAGCCCCATGGTCAAAATTTCGGAGTGCATTACAGGCTGAAGTTATGGGAGTTAATACGGATGGAGTTTATATGAATGAAGCCGATGACAAAAAGATCTGGACGCTAAAATGCACTGCACTAAGCAAATACTAAAGACAAAATTAGCATTGATCATAAGGCGAGTGAAATTTTGGTACAAATGTATTGGTATTGTGAATTAATCGTGTGTGCTGAATAGCAACATCATGGAGGTAATATGTGTAGCATTGTATGCATTAAATAGGATTGTTGTAATAGTAAAAACATTTTTATGAATTTAAAACTTGGAATTCTCATGATTAGGGAGGTAATAAAGAGAAGGATAAGACAAGTAGACCACCTCTCAGAAAAACAAAGTTGACTTCTCTCGAACCTCCTTCGCCAAACAGACCCTCACTAGGCACAAACTTTAACAGTCTCTCCTCAAAAATACAAAATTATACCTCAGTCGTTAAAGCACTGGACTCGCAAGTGAGAGACCTGGGTTTGATTCCCGGCAGGGTGAAATGTTGGGTAAACACGCACGCCCGCCTCTGTTTACCTAGCAGTAAGTAGGAACCTGGTTGTGGGATGCTGCTGTGCACAATTGGCTGCCTCGTTTCGCCAATAAAATACACAGTCACTTCACTTTACAGTATAGTCTGTGAACCGCTTTGAGACGCCTTGAAGACGTGATAAGGCGCTATATCAAACACATGAATATTTGTTCTGCAGACCGTGTCCTCTCCACCACCAAACTCCATAATCCTATCTCCCCCGTTCTCGTCCGACTCCAGCCCCCGCACTGTCGCGTCTGGCGTCCCGCAGGGCTCTGTCCTTGGCCCTCTCCTCTTTAATATCTACATGCTCCCCCTTGGTGACATCATCCACAGACATGGGGTGAACTTCCATACGTATGTGGATGACACACAACTCTATCTTTCTACCTCCACCCTCAACTCCAGGACCACTGCTGCCCTGACTGAATGTCTGTTGGACATCAAGTCTTGGATGAGGGCAAATTCCCTACAGTTGTATGTGAACAAGACTGAGGTCCTCCTCCTGACTGGCTCGCACCAGCACCTCAGGCTCTGGCAGCATCAAACTCCATGGTTGCACATTTCAACTCACCAAGCCAGTCAGGAACCTGGGTGTCCTGTTTGATCCTCAACTGTCTTTTCTTCCCCACATCCAAGCCATGACCCGCTCTGCCTTCCCTCACCTCCGTAACATCGCCCGACTCCGCCACTACCTCACTCCGTTGATACACTTGTTCATGCCTTCGTCACCTCCAGGCTCGACTATGCAAACGCCCTGCTTGTCGGCCTTCCCAACTCCTCCCTCCACAGGCTGCAGATAATCCAGAACTCTGCAGCCCCTGTCCTCTCCCGCACCAAACTCCGTGACCCCATCACCCGCATCCTCACCCGACTCCACGTGCTCCCTATCCTCCAGAGGATCCAGTTCAAGATCCTCACCTACAAAGCCCTCCGTGGCCTCGCCCCACCCCACCCTACCTCTGCCACCTCCTAAACCCCCTACCAACCCGCCCGCTCCCTCCGCTCAGCCGGCTCCGGCCTGCCCCACGTCCCCCGCCCCGCCCGCCCCACCGTTGGCGGGAGAGCCTTCAGCCACTCTGCCCCCAACCTCTGGAACTCCATCCCCCCCCCCCGATCACTCCGCATCACCCCCTCCTTAGCCTCCTTCAAGACCCTCCTCTTCGACCGTGCCATCGGCCAGCCCCCCCTTCTCCCCCTTCCCTTTTCCCCCCTCCCCCCACCCCCTCCTCCCCTCCCGACGTGAAAGACGCTATACAAACGTCATCCTGTTGTTGTTGTTAATTATCATCACCCACACACAGCTGACAGTTTCACATACATCCTCGCGCGTGTACGCAAACCTTACCCCCGCCCTTTTCTTTTTTTTTTGTCCTTTCCCCCCCTCAGGAATACGCAAACCCCTTCGCTCTTCCTTCGCACTCCGCGCGCTCCGAAGGCGGCAAACGGACTGTGGCTTCCCAGCGTGCACCCGTCCGCCAGCGCCAGTTCCCATTGGCAGCCGGGGCTGTCGGTCAGCGGGAAGGGGGGCGGGGGCGGGCGCGGGGCCGCCCGTCCTTCAACCCGATTGGTGGGACCTGCTGTCAATCGAGGGGCGGCGTAGGCGCGCGGGGGGCGTGGGGGGAAGGGCAGCGCGCGGCTTCCGGCCGGCGGGAGCCCGCCCCCCTAAAACGAGTGACGGTTTAACGGTCGCCGCGCGCGCTCGGAGTTGGTTGGCGGCGCCTTGGGCGGGAGAGGGAGCGAGCGAGAGAGAGAGGGAGGGAAGGAAGGAGGGAAAACGATGAACTTTTCCGAGCCCTTCAAGCAGTCAAGTCAGCTGTGCAGCCTTTCGCCTGACGGCGTATATTTGGTGAGTGGCCTCGCTCCGTGTTGGTTGTGTCTCCGCTTGAGGCCCTGGTTGAGCAGCGGGGCCCCCGGGGGCGGGATTTTTGCTCGGCACCGAGTCAAAAAAAACAAAAAATAATCAAAAGAAACTCGGTAGGAATGGAAGTCACCCCCTCCTCTGTGTGTGTGTGTGTGTGTGTGTGTCTGTCTCTCTCACACAGCTGCTGCTGTCGATGTGGAGGTTAACGATCCCGCTCTGGGCCCCGCGCCGCCGCCTGTTCCTTTACTCCCCTCTCTACAAAGCTGCACCGGTCACTCGAAAGCTTTTTTGGAAAGCCCAATTCGGACGCGAAGTCCCTTCGAGACGTTTTGGCGGTTACACGCGCTGTATCTATCGATCTATCGATCTATCCATCCATCTATCATCTATCTATCGATTATCTATCTATCATCTATCGATTATCTATCTATCGATTATCTATCTATCGATTATCTATCGATCGATCGGATGGCCCATTTATTCCTCACAACTCCTGTCACTTTTGTAGCTGTCGGTGGGGCAGTTGCTGAAAAAAATCCTCTGCTGTGTTTGCCTACAAAATACATACACAGTCCCCGGTGAACTTTACAGAGAATCCCTTGAAGGGCGCGGAGACATCCTCTTCGGGGGTGGGGGTGGTGGGGGGGGAAGGCGCTGCCTCAAATGGAAGGATTATTACTTATTACTATTTAATTGTCAGCTTTGATGGTATTCTTGGCCTCTGGGGCACCAGCCCTGGTGCCAGGGACTCAACGCTCACCGTGTGTTGTTTCCATTGCAGGTCCTGTCAAAGCTATTTAGGTATTTTCTCCATTGCTTGCTTGCTGTCCAGCCCTGTTTGCAGGTAGTGTTCTGTGATGCTGTCCTTCCTGAAGTGCCACACTAGTATTGTATGTGTGTGGAAGATCCGACGACACTTGGAAAAGGGAGGGAAGTTTCTCCTGGTGCCCTGTCGACAACCCTCCAGATAAATTGGTTGTTCGCCAGTGGGGGGGGACTGCGTGCAAATTAGCCGCTGTATTAATCTATAAATACACAGTCACTTCACTTGACAGCAATTGCATGTGAAGTGGTTTGAGATATTTTGATATTACAGGTGCTTTATCTAATGCAAGGATCATGTGTCTGTCGGCCTGTTTTATTTACTTGGCAGTGCCTCTCGAGCGGAAGATTTTGGGTCCGGGTCGCACATTAAGATTGAGCTCGTAGTCTAGGCTGACGCTCACTTCGGTGAATTGTTTAAGGTGCCGTCATTAGGATGGGATGTTAAACTGAGGTCCTATCCGATTGTTCAGGAAGATGTTACTATTTGAAAAGAGAAGGAAGTCTTCTCTTGGTTTACTGGCTAACGGTCACTCAGATTTTTAAAAAAATGGCCATTCACTTCATGGCTGTTTGCGGAACTTTGCTAAATAACAAGAGGAATGTAAAATTGATGATTATCATCCAAATGGAAAAACAGGGAAATTAAAAAAAAAGTTTTTACATGGAGGGTTGTTAAACTACATGGCCTTTTGATTTAGTTCTATGTCGGGAATAGCTTTGAATATTCAAGTCACCCAGAAATGGGCAAATTTGAGTATAAAGCTGAGAGGATAAATATTTTTAAAAGTTTTTGATGCTTAATGTATTTTTTCATTTTGTATTACAGGCCACGTGTGTTCAGTACCGACTGGTAATCCGAGATGTGCATACATTGCAGGTCCTCCAATTATACACATGCCTGGACCAGGTTCAGTACATTGAATGGTCCGCAGACTCTCTTTTCATCTTGTGTGCCATGTATAAGCGTGGACTTGTACAGGTAATGTGTGTGTGTTTTAAAGTGCCAGTTGCTTGAATAAAATGCAGCTTAATTTTCAATATTTGTAAAATGATAAAGGACCATTTTAAAAGTTGACAATTTTTAAAGAAGGGGGTGAAGGTTGGAGAGCAAAAACTTGCTTGTTTGCTCTCTGGCGTTGCTTGCACTGTACAGTCTTTCATGATCTCATAAATTCAGGGTCTCATAAATTAAACTGCTTTTGATGTCTGGAAATTGCAATCTGGTTTGCAAATTAAGACAGACAAAATATCTTTCAGTTGACAAGGCAGACTCGTGAACCGCACATCGCATTTTGTAAGATGTTGACTGTTTTGCTTGTCTGTATTCAGCCAACAGGTGGTGTGTGTGCTTAGGGGGGCAGGGGTGGGGAGAGGAAGATATTATTAATGTAGGACGGAGGGGGTACTGTTTAGCTTACCCAAACCTTAATCTGACCTAATCTTTATCCTCCCTGATGAATCAGAGACAACTGAATACCTTTTGTCAAGGTGTTACATAAGTTTTTATAACTTTATTTTGTTACTGATTATTGTCATTGTGCAATGATGATATTAGAGAAACTTGTTTGAAGAATACCTCAGTCTGAGAATAACTTTTTAAAAAAAAATCACTAATGGTTGTCCTGCATTGAGGGCCCTTTTGTTATGAATACAATGTTCACTAAAATTATTCTGCCATTATGATGATATTTGTAAAATGACTAAGCGTGACTTTTAACAGCCTTGCTTGTTCGTTCTCCATTCAGAGGTATTTCCCAGGTATAATGGGTGATCTTAAATTGATTTATGGAACTGTTTTGCTTCCCAAACCTTTTTTTAGTTTTTTGGATTGCTACTTGAAATGTATATTTAAAAATAGTAAGGGGGAACGTGAATATGTACTGTAAATTAGTGAGATCTACTGTCAATAGAATATTCACAGCAAGCCTGCAGAAATTAGAATTTCCAATTTACAGTGTTGGAGTTTTTTGTCACTCTTGATGGCTGTTGGGAATCATAATGATGCAGTGGGAGGAAGCTTTTTATGCTGTGAGTGTTACTAGGGGAAATGAGTGCTGTGATCTTTTCTGCTGAGCCGCCTGGTGTCTCAGTTGCAATAGCCATATAATGCTCTCTCGTACAATTGCCCACTCGTCTTCTCCAAACTTTATCGTGCCATTGTGTGTGTTTACAGGATAGATCTGGTATGTGTTTGTGTATGAGGAACAATGAGTTTTGAAAGACCCTGGAGAGCCTGGCATGTATTGTGTAGTTTGGTACTTGTACTGTAATTATTAGCAGACTGTGTACCACTTTCAAGTACCTGAATGCAGGTCAGAAGGTTGGTCATATGGTTTTAATACGTATGTTGGTTTGTGGAGCATCTTTTGCAAACTCCTACCAAATATGCAAGTTCTGAACAAAGTTGTAAATGCACAATGCTTGGAAAAAGAATACATTTCTTTGCAAATCAATCCATTCTACTAATATTTCAAATATATATTCTGAGCTAAGTTATCCATTTTGCTATTATACTTAATTATTGTATCATTTAAAAAAAAATCTTACTTCGTTATTGACACAAGCCGCCATGTTCATATTAGGTGCCCATTCGCCATAATAACTGTTGGGAAATCTAGTTTTCAAATCTGAATTCTACTGCACGCTATTTATATATTCAGAAAAGCATGCAAGTTAGAATAGCTTTACCTTTGTAGAGGTATCCAGCGCCAGTCTTTCATGGTCCAGTCTGTTGTCTTCTAAATCTCTAATGTTTGAGGTAGTTAGCTTTTCTCGGACTCTTAGCTAGCGTAAGAGGAGCTGCCTGTTTATAGTAGACTGCTTGTGTAGACTGTGTTCATATTTAACTTTTGCTTTTACTAAAAACAGGTTTGGTCCTTAGAGCAACCTGATTGGCACTGTAAGATTGACGAGGGATCTGCTGGGCTGGTGGCCTCGCGCTGGAGCCCAGATGGACGTCACGTCCTCAATACTACAGAGTTCCATGTAAGTGAAGTTACCACCCTTTTACAGTACAGTTCAACTGTTGCTGTCTGTAGCCTGAATTAAATAGGATTCAATGCTTAGCAGTTGTTTAGCTGACATTTGCTATACTGGTATTTCCAGTAGTGTTAGCTGCTGCAGTACTGTCATTAGTCTAGCTTGAGAATTTTACTGCGTTCTAATGTTCGAATACATTTTCAAAAACCTTTAAAGAATGACAATGCACCAATAATTTTATATTGTATCTAAGGTCCACCATTTCCTTGTATTATTGTATGATATTGTATAAGTTTAAAAATTTTAATCAATTTTCACCAACCCTAATTATGAAATACAAAGTACAATAAATCACATGATACTTACTGGTCTTTGCTGTCTGGGAATTGATGATCAATTTCATAAACAATCCTTCCTCCTTCACCCACTCCCAGATAAAATGCTTCTTCTGTTTGCATGTTTTATGAAGAATAGTATACACATAGGTGTGCTTTCCAGAGAGCATTGGGTAGTTCAGATGCTTTCCTGAAATGTGAGCAAGAGGGACAAGTGCTTTGCTCAGAAATGTAATTCCGATGTGCTTCTTTTGCTCCTCCCTATAAACTGAGTTATTATATTGACATAGGCATCTGGAATTAACTAGGTGTTATTTCATTAAAATCTATCAACAAGTATTTGTGGGGAGGTGATTTTAAATTTTACATTGCTTTATAATGCTACTAATCTTTGTGTTTTAAGCTTTTTTTTACAGTTTATGCAGGAGTAAGATAACTATATTCTTCAGAGTGTGTGATGTACAGTAGTTTTATTTCTGACTGACGCTTAAGGGATTTGGGCAGAGTGCCAGAAAAGCAGTCTGTCTCATGACCTTAAGTTGGCTGAAATGCAAACAGGTGCCTTTAGAAAGTCTGCAGTGTAACTGTTTTGTGAAAACATGGCTGCAACGTTCTGACGCGTGGGGTGTGAAATTCTTCCGGCTGGTGTGGTTTGGAGGCGGTCTGTCTGCTTAGTCTGAACTTGCCTTCACCCTCCCACCACCACACGCCCCCCCCCCCCAATCTAGACTGGCTGAAGTGACATTGGCGTCTGTCGGAATAAAGCTCTGTGCTTATTTTACTAGACTTCCACTCAGCTTTGCCAACATGGAAAGTATAGACACAGTTTGCTAATCCATATACCTTGCCTCTTGTAGGACGATTACTCAGCCCTCAGGAAGTTCAGAAATGGTACACACAAGCATTTGCTGAGGGAAAATTTGCAGGTGAACATTTAAGTATTTTCAGTGTAGTTCCTGAACACAGGAAAGCTGTACATTTAATCCATTTTGTGCTTGGAGGGACTGAAATACTAGACAGAATACTTGAGAGAAAATTCAAGATGGCAAGAACCTCTGATCATGAAACAAATTGCATTGAATTCTTCCCTTTTTGTTTAACTTTTGAATAAATCTGATGCACTTAGTTCTCGGATATGCCTGTTGCAGAGGAAGGTGTGATGAATGTGAAGCTTTATCTGCGTGCTTCTATAGTTCAGTTTTCAATTGTGCGTTTGATCTGGGTATGCCATTTCCAAGCCTGATATTTCTGCCAGGAACATTCCTTCCGAATGTGCTAATTAAATTACTTTAATAGTCCCTGTATACTAGCTTCTGGGGAGCAAGCTGGTCCTCATTAAAAAAAATTGTGCGTGTTAACTTGTTCCTATACTGCTTCTTGTGCATCAGAAATAGATGCTCACGTGGGCCATTCTTAGATTTGAAGCAGGTCTACTGATAGTGAGCCCTGTTTTACTGAATTGTAGATTCCACAGTAGAGGATCTCAAATTCTGATAAGACTAACTACTTTTTAATATTAAAAAGTATGAACTATTTTCTGGCCCTCACGAGTTTATGTTTTTTTCCTTTGTTGCAATCTCGTGCGAGCGTTTTGACTGCAGTAATGAGATTTCTCTTGTTGAGAATGATGCAATCAGAGTGGTGATTCATGTCTGTGATCTGTAGACTGTCCCTCTCTGCGCTGGATCTGATAATGAGCATCATACAGAGGTTATTCTCATGGCCTTACATCAGCCAGCTAGAGCCACTTGGTCTGACATCACCCATTTATTTCAGTCAGCACCCTGTTGATAATATGGGCTCCCTTCATTGCACGTGAGTGATCTGACAGACCAACAGCTAGATGTTGGCTAGTGATATTTAGGACTTCGTTTGTGCACCAAAATAAGAGATTTGTATGAAGATTGGAATTCTAGATTTTGTTTCCATTCCTTCTCTTCTTTCCTACACCCCCCCCCTCCCCCCACACTCACGCACACCCATCCTTTCCCCTCGGTTCTTCATGAAAACACCAAGGCAGGATCGTGGAGAAGGACACAATTAAATTATTGTGTTGTGTGGCTACAAAAGTTGGTTAGTGTCGAATATTCTATGCGATGTTAGAACAATATTATGCTGATATTGTTAAATTACATTCAGTGTAATGCTGTGCTCAGCCCAGCTTTGGGAATGGATTTTTCTGAATAGTTTGTTTCTAGCAACCAACACTGATTTGAAAGTGGAAAGAATATCCCAATAAGGGTAAACAAAATCTGTCAAAGATTGATCTTGTTAACTTTTCTGGTAAGCCAACAAGATTCAACTTGTTTTCTTGAGTTGAGAGGGATTGTAGTCAGACCTCAATATAAATAAGGTATATTGCACGGTGGACCAGAAGTGGACCCTTCTAGAGTTGGTGCTGGTTTGATTCATATTGAGTACAGGTGAAGAGGGCTTTCCAGCTTTAGGTAATGTCTGAGCAACACTTTCTGTTTCTGTTGGAAACACTTGCAAGACGATTTGCGTTGACGTGAGCAGCATTCTGACGACCCAGTAGCACTGATCAACAGCCATTTTATAAATCTTCCCCCCCCCCCCCCATTATAACGTAGGTTTAAGTTCATCAATTCAAACCACTGTTTGACTGCACAAGGGCCATAACTTGATTTAAGTTGTAAGGTCCTAGTAGATGTGGACAATGGCAGCCCTTAAATAATTTAGTGCTATTCTCTGAAAGAAATGCATTTAATAATAATAATAATAATCCTTGCATTTGATATAGCGCTTTTCACGTCAGGAGGACATCCCAAAGCGCTTCACAGAACACACTGTAAAGTGAATTGACTGTATATTTGTGGGCGAACGCGGCAGCCAATTGCGCACAGCAATGTCCCACAAACAGTCGTAGATTGAAAATGACCAATTTAATTATTGTTTTTGGTTTTTTGGAGGGATTATTATTAGGCTCTGTGTGGAGTAAGGAAACTTGCCCAAGGTTTGGCCCTCTGCCTGGAATTGAACTCAGGTCTCTCACTTGCAAAGCGAGTGCTCTAACCACTGAGCTACAGGGCTCCTGTTTTCATGGGCTGGGCTGAATTGACTTTTTTTTAGTTGAATAATTCTGCGCTGCGCATAGAATTTTTTTCTCCTTGGCAGGGGTTTTGCCTGGGAACTGTTTAATGGCTATCAGAGACACTCTGAGAAAACAATGTATTCATAACTGCTCCATTTCACAATGTCTCTGTTCCATAACTAGTAATGTTGTCACCTTACTCTTCATTTGAGTTTCACCAATTAGAACTGGAGGAGTTTGCTATCTTGGTTTGAATCCTTTATGCTGTGGAATGCGTGCTGAATTATCCTACAAAATCCTGTGTTGACAGACATGGCTATGAAAAGAGCCCCTCTGACCGAGCAGAGTCTGTGTTACAAATTGATGGCTATTTAAGTTGATATTTTTTTCCGTTGTGTTTTGTACAGTGACCATTACCAAACCTGCACCTGTCAGACTTTTTCAGCAGCGCCAGCCAGCCCTGCATTGCAATGAACCGACACCCAGTTAATTCCAGGTGCTTATGCCAATATATAGCTAGGTCTGAAGGGAGAAGCAAAAGAAGTGAATTGAAATTACATTTCTGATTGTTTTTGTTTGGGGAATTAAGAAATGAGAATTTGTACCTGGGAAGGATATTTACCGTAACATAATTCATCTTGCTGATCCAGGATAAAGTTTAGAGTCTAAATACTCTTCACAATTTTTGTGGATGACAGAAAGAACCACCTTATTCTGCCATCAAATGTCATGGGGAATTTGTTGATCTGGTACTGAGCTGTGCCACCGAGTCGCCTATCCTTCTGCTCTTAACCTTTAAAAATCCCTTATGATGGGAATGGTTAAAATCATTATTTGGCTCGTACAGCAGTTGACCTGTGTTTGTGAGCAGTTGACCTGTGTTTGTGAGTGCAGGCAACAGCAGTTGGGACACTTGTACTTCATTCTGGCAGCTGAGCCAGACTGAATGAGATAGGAGGTTCACTATTCATTTTATTATGTTTAATATTCATAAACTTTAAAAGATTTTTTTAATGGCAGAATTGCAAAACACATCCTTATTTACACTAATCCTGAAAGAGTTAAGTTTGCCTCTTCTGCCTTGCCTTATCGAGTTACCCTGTTTGGCGACTCTCAGCAGCTTGACTTCTATTTTAAAAGCATCTGTACAGTGGTAGAATTTAGGATCGTTTTCTCTTGCAAAACAACAGCTGAAAGATGCCTTTTTTACAGCTGGAAACGAAAGGTGTCTCCTATGCTCAGCTGTTCTTTAACAAAAAAACAATTCAGGGTAACATTTTAATGTGGGCCAGCGTTTCTGAGAATCTAAAAGTTTTATTTGTCACCTGACATTTAACAGTCGTGACTCTGAAGATTTATAAACTTATTTTGTTAAGCTGATTGGTTAGTATCTTAATACCATGATTTCTCCAACTTTTCAATTTTCTCTCCTTTGATCTCATACAAAATAAATGAGTGTTACTTGGGTGCACTCTGGGATTTTGAACTCATAGTCCAGGCTGACACTCCAGTGCAGTGCTGGGGGTGGGCTGCATTATCGGAGGCACTGTCCTTCGGTTAAACAGTCATCCAGTCTGCCTGTTCAGCTGGATGTTAATGGTCCATTGCACTGTTTGAAAAGGGAAGAGAGTTTCTTCTGGGATCCTCTTGTATTCTCTCTGCGTAAGGTTATTGATTCACTTCATGGCTGTGGGATATTGTTATGCACATATTTGCGGTCACATTCACCTCCTGATGTGAAAAGCACTATATCAAATGGATTAAGATGAGACTCCAACAGGTAGCACCTTCAGTGCATACAAGTAATATGAAGGCAGAGGAAGCATTCAATGACTTATTATCTTACAGAATATGTTCAATGCTATGTTGTGAAACGCCTATGATTATAGGTAAAAATTATTTTGCAACCATGAACAGTTTTCAAATATTAAATTCATGCCCGTGTATTTCGACTGCGGTATGATTGTGGCTCATAGTGTCAGATGAATAATGTATAGAAATAAGAAATGGTATGCAATTCAAAGTCTTATATTTTGGTGTGAGCAGTGTACATCTTCACATTTATTGCTGTAAATGCGTGTACGTTAATGTATAGAATGTTTATTAACCTGTTGTACAGCTTAATGTTGTGGCCATAATTGCCATTCTTGCCTATGTTTCCTGTAACTTCAGCTGTCAAGAAGGGATTTGTTATTCAATGTAGAAGTGTGGGTTGAAAGCTTGCACAGATTAATTCCTTGGGTCACATTCAGGTCGGAGTTCTGTCCTTGTTCCACATTCAATGCTGCAATGAAATAAATAAACATTATCTCTTTCTTAACAGCTGCGAATCACCGTCTGGTCACTGTGCACCAAATCTGTGTCTTATATCAAATATCCTAAGGTCTGTCAACATGGTAAGTAGATTGACATTCATGTCTTGAAGGTTAATAGTATGTTGTGGAGCTGAGGAACACTTGTAAACCAGTAATATTTTACTTGATTTGTGTCTGAGAAGTTAGACCTGCTAAAAATTGTCATTATTTACTGCCAAAACCTAGCAGGAATTTTCTCTTTAAGATTTACCTAATATGCATGTAAAGACAGCATCTCCTCCATGGTCTTGATGTTTGTGGCTGCAGGGATGGATTTCACGAAGGACGGACACTATATGGCTCTAGCAGAGAGACGAGACTGCAAGGATTACATTAGTATCTTTGTGTGCAGTGAGTGGCAGCTGTTGCGGGTAATGAACTTTTTAAAAAAAAACACCACATTGTTCTAGTTTTAGAGCACTGTGACCCAGTACTTTTTCTGGGACATAATTACACTGTGCACTCTGTTCTGGAGCCCTACCATTAAAACTAGTGCATCAAAACAGATTACACTTAACTATTGATCTCAATGTTGGTGCAGATTTCCTCCTGTGCTTGACTTTGTAACCGTTGCTACTCTTCAGTAAATCATGAGAAACACTTTCAAGAATATTAGAACGAATGAATATTACTTCAAAATTTGGTTATTCTTAGTTGGCTGGAGAAAAACATTTCACTTGAAATGTGGCTCTTAAAATACAATACATTTTACAGTTCTGTTGTACCTTTCATGTTCGGAGAATGATAAAAAAGTGCTTAAAATAGAATGGGTTTCAGAAGCTAGGAGGCTCCCATGATTTCCAGAAATCATCTGAGGAAATTAAATGAAACCATATGAATGCAATTTCGTTGTCAGATGTTTTGTGACTTATCTCATGTGTTTGCTCAGCATTTTGACACTGAGACTCAGGATCTGGCTGGTATTGAGTGGTCACCCAACAGCTGTGTACTGGCGGTCTGGGATTCCTGTTTGGAGGTGAGTGAAAGTCCTGAAACAGAAGCTAGAGTATGAGATGTTCTGAGCTTTTTGAACAAATAACCTGGAGTTCCAGCATATTGTGCATTTAATTGGATGTAGGTTTGTGCCTGGAGGGAGAGGGAAATCCTTGATTCCCGAAGATCTTTGTGTTTGTTACCTCATTTTCAAAAGTTTTAAGCGCTTTGTACTTGTACCTTTTTAAATTTGGGGATTAATTTCACCCACAAAATACATAGTCGATCCACTTTACAATATATTCTGTAGCGTTTTGAAACGTCTGAATGATTATTATTATTATTATTAATGCCATTTCAGTATTCAGTATTCTGTGCTTCCTTCAGTAATGTACCAACTTTGTTTTTTTTTACTCTCCAGCCAGTAATATGTAACCTGTTTTGTTCATTTTAGTACAAAATTCTCTTGTACTCCTTGGATGGACGACTGCTATCTATTTACAGTGCATATGAGTGGTCTCTAGGTGTGAAATCTGTTGCTTGGAGCCCAAGCAGCCAGTTTCTGGCTCTTGGGAGTTACGATGAAAAAGTAAGTTGTGATGCGTCATTCAGAATGATACACAAGTAACAAGATTTTGTCTCTATTGAGGCATTTTTATCTTTTGCTTTTGGAACTGTGCTGTGTGTGTGTGTGGGGGGGGATTCTCTTTCATCTATCTGTACAATCTGAAATTGAGAATTATTCATTTTTATCTGTGTAGCTCTTAAAGCTTGAGTGGTGCCTATCCATTCGTTGTTGCCAGATACCTTAAGAAAATATGGCTTTGTGTCAAGATCAACCTTCCTTAAAAGAAGATGGTTATTTGTTCAAAAATGTTTCAGAAGAATCAATTTATTATTTGGCAAGTTTCATTTTGATTGGTTGATTTTATTTAAATTAGGTACGGATCCTAAACCATGTAACCTGGAAAAAGATTGCAGAATTTGAACATCCCCCAAATATCAGCAACTCCAAAAGTGTAAGTTTGTCCTTGATTAGTGATGTGGTTGGAATTGTTAGTCTTTGATTTGAGGATAGGAAGGTGGCCTAAGAAGGGTGTGCGATTCCATAATGAGAACCCCTGTCTTTCTACTGCAAGATGTAATTAATTACTGATTTTGCACAGTGACTGCTGAATGTTAGGACGGTAGCTCCTGCCTTCTACTGTCTTTATTCAGAGACTGGCTAAAAAAGTAAAATTGGATATCTAAAATTACACAGTTCATGTGTCTCTCTGCATGTAGGTTATTTACAAGGAAGTAGACACCCGACCAACTCTTGGCAATGATGGCTTGTCCCTTCCTCCGATTGGAACTGCAGGATGCTCTTTGTTCAGCTCGCATAGTAAATGTAAGTGAGGAGATGGTAGATAACAGCAGTATTGATTTTACTCTCTTCACTTGCCCAAATTGAGATTACTTGCTTATTGCTGGCAAATGCAGATACTTTTCTTTTCCTTGTCCTGTGACTTGAAAGTGCCTTGATCACTAGTATGTAACTATCCATAGTGGCATGATTAGGATAAATAACTTGCTTTTGTGTGCAGATCATCCTATCACCCACCCCATGGCGCACGATTCTATAGCATTGAGAGCAGGTTTTGACTAAAGCATTAGTGTTGGTCCCATTGACAAAATGTAAAGTCGCCCTGGTCGACAGGACTTTCAGCATCCTAATGCCTACATGATAGAACATCCAGTGTTGTGTTTGTAGGATATATGAGGCTACTATTGGTCAGTCTTCACCTTCTTTATTTCTAACACTAGATGAAATTTGTCAGCCTCCAGTTCAAGTACCTGCAGTGAAGCCTGACCCAGATCGAGCCAATCCCAAATTGGGTGTTGGGTTGTTGGCCTTCAGTCCGGATAACCGCTTCTTAGCAACCAGGAATGGTATGTTAATGTGTCTTTGTGAGCAGGTTGAAGGTTAATTGTTTTGGAATTTGTGTCACAAATCTGTGGTGATAGGTTTTGAGTGATGTGTAAAACCCATGGTGTTAGAGCACCGGTGGTATTTTAGTGTAAGAAGAGGGAATCAATTTTACTTTCCTGAGGGATATCTGCAACAATTTGATGTTCAAAGGCTCCGTATGGGAATTTGGAAAGGAGAATCACTGAGTACTGCCTATCAGTTATGTACTTCATGGAATTATCTTCCCCTTTAACCGTCTTCAAAGTTTCTTATTTCTTTTCCTTTTCTCTTCCACAAGATAACATGCCAAACACAGTATGGATTTGGGATGTGCAGAAGCTGTCACAATTTGTGGTTTTGGAGCAGGTGTCTGCTGTCCGATCCTTCCAGTGGGATCCATGCAGGGCACGACTAGCCATCTGTACTGGCAGCAATAAAGTGTACTTGTGGTCTCCTTCAGGGTGCTTGTCTGTGCAGGTTCCAATAGAAGGTAAGAGGAGCTGGGTGTGGGTGGGTGGGGGCCTGGTTGGTGTGTGTGGGGTTGAGGTAGGAGTGGGGGAGTGTGGGTGGGAGGGGTGGAGTCTGGATCGTGGGAACTCTCCCAGCAGGTCAAAGTTAAGAATTTCTAATTGTTTAGAGTGAAATGGATGCCTGTTTCTTTCTTTTCTTACTTTCTGTGATTTCATAGAAAATGTAAGGGTTGGTTTGTGTGTTCTGAAATCTGAATTTTCTTTTAGGTAGTTTCCAGGTTTTATCGTTATTCTGGCATTTCAACGGGAACTCTCTTGTGCTGCTGAGTAAAGATCAAATGTGTGTGTGCTATTTAGAGACCACAGAAGCAAGCAAACATTGATACATTGAAGAGTGGGTACAAGTGGACCCTAGAGTTTTGCGCTAGGTATGCCTGGTTTATTGTTTGAGCCCAATGTGTGTTGCTCCTGGAAGAGAACAGTGAACAACTACTGACACTCAACTACATTACCTACAGCCGCTTATAGGATGTGACACTGTTTACAGCTTATTATAGCAAAGCTTTGTTAAAATGGCAAAAATTGGGTTTTACAGTCCATTTTATATCACATTTATTTGGCAAAGTTGACAGAGCAATGTTCTACTTCTAACCTCGGAGTCCGCTGGATGCTGATTTTGTTCATGGTCCAAAAAGTGAAACTATTCCGTTCCCCGACATTATCCATTGTTCATTCAGCACAGAACTTACCAAAAATATTACTTAAATTGTATTGTTTTAATTGTATTTAAAAGGTTCATACCACAGGGATTAGTTTGTTCTAAACTTGAATGTACATTTACAACATGGTTGGACCTGATATTGCACTAGGCCCTGTTAATGCTGTAAACATTTTAGTCTACAATGTGTTTGCACAATTGAACAATTTACCTTACTTATACAGGCATATTGACATGTGTGCCTCGCACACATTTGTCAGCTGTGCTTTGGGTGACCAGTAAAAGGAGGCAATAAAGGTGAGCCATATTAAACATTGGTTGCCTTTCCTTATCCAGATTAACGTGTTCATCTGTGTATTTATACACTTGTATAAGACATCTACAGTACATTACTGAAATGTAGCACATACAATCACTGTGTGAATACTGTATAACGTTGGATTAGATTGGGGTCTGTAAATATTTGTAGTTTTACAATTGTAAAGAGATGCTATTTATGAATTTTCAATAAAATTTACAATCAATTATGATTTTGTCCATTTCTGGAGTTATGTGCATGATTGTATAATTTCTAACATTGGTTAAAGTTAGAATTGAAGACTGCTTAACTGGCAGACGAGTTTCAGGGACAATTGAATGGTTCAGATTAAAGCATCGAGATCTGAGTGAGAATTTAGATTGTGCTACCAAGAATGGTAGGACATAAAAGTCCAAAATGGATAGCCAGTGTACCTTTCGATTTGTCACTTAGTGAAAATAAAATTTTTAGATAAGTTCAGCGAAGGAAATGTATCCCCACTTCGTTTTTATTTTGAAATTTCAGTTTAATGGCTTGGAACTTCTTCATACAGGTCACGGGTGAGAATGTTCAAATAATCAGTGGACGATGAGTGTCATCTAACAGACAGTACAAGCCACTAAATTTTGCATCACCAAGATATGACTGATACCAGCCTGCCATGGCAAAGCACGGCTGAATTAACTTAATTTGAACATGTGTAGTTTTGTAAATACTGCTTGTGATTCTGACTTATAGTTTGTCTGATCATGAAGGATGCACAAAGTAAAACTGCACAGGATGCACAGTAAAATTGCGCTCTTTTATTAGCATTGATAATTTTTTTTTACAGAAATTGCTTACAAAAAATGGATTATGTTCAATATACATCACAACATTTAAAAGCATGTTCCGAGAAATCAGGCACCATTTCTCAAATTAATGACTAAGCAGTCTCCTTCGAGGATTTTTTTTTAAATGAGGTGTATTCTAATTCCAAATAAGTAAAGACAGCTCTACTGAGTTGACTACATATTTAGAATCCTGTAACGTGGTTTTGGCATCTAATATGTACAGTAATGTGGTTTGAGAACTATTTTCCCATTGATCTTACGAAATTTCAATGTGTTTTAATTCACGTGTTTTGAGTTTTCAGGTTGGAGGTTGGCCATTGCCAATTTTTCCTGCAAAGTGAGTGAGGGTGGACCATTGGAATGGTTGGCTCAATGGGGAGATGGTCCAAAGGGATATTGAACCAATTGGTGAATGTGATTTCCCCAGAATTCATGCTGTACAATTTGTAATGTATTGTTCACGTGGAGCCTTCAACAAAAGGAATGCAGCAATTGAGAGGATCATGGTGATGCCAACATCAATGTTTCCATTACTGCTCTGGATTATTGCTGACAGGATTGTGATAGTATAAGCCATCTTAGTAACACGGTAACTAATGGCCACTAAGAGTACTATATTGGAAAGTAACATATTTTAATAATTGTACAGGTCATTCATGTTAATTGGCATTTGGTTCATCCTCAAATCTGTATTGCAATTCTTTTGGCCAGTGAGTTGAGGATGATTTCTTGTTTTAGAGACATCAATACTGTGGTTTTAATCGCTGTATGAATGGTTTGCCTCAAAGACCTTATGCGCATCCACTGCCAGCAACAGTTCAAGTGGCAAAATAATGTACCCTGTAATTTCAACCAGGAGGGTCCAGAGGTTTGTTATACATCCTGATTAATTCCATTCAAGGTAGTACTCATAACTAATTCTACCCCCATGCAGCATATAACGATATGAAAGGCGCTATACAAATGTAATTTGTTGTTGTAAATTTGCATTCAATAAAAAATGTAATTTGTCTCGCCAGTATTGGAAGATTCTGCCAATTAGATGTCAGACACAGCACAGGTTTTCAAATGTAGACATTTTAAAATCCTACTAGTAGTAGGATGATGACTTTAGAACTCACACAGTTGATGTTTCTCAATACAAGATACCCGCAAACCTAGTAAGACCGAACCTTTCCGGGCCAAGAGTGGGCATATCTGAAGTTTCAAGTACTGGTGTCATTTTGTTTGTGTTGGTATTTTTTTAATGCAGAGTAAAGCAGGCAGACAGATGTGTCATTTTCTAGATTAGGGCTGTTAAAACCACTTAATCAGCATAGCCTGGCACTGGAACCACTGGAATAATGTGTACAGGAGCAAAACTTCTCTAGAATGATTACACAATGGCACTATAGCTCACACACACAGTTGTGGTTATCAGGTTAATATCATTCGCAGAACTGTTTTTCATACCTATCCATCCACTTTACTTTTTTTTAAAAAGGCAATTTTCATTCAGCACAATAACGTTTTGAACATTGCAATGCCAAATAAGCGGTTTAATAGTTTATCACCATATCAGCATGCAATTGTAGCACACAGCTAAAAGGCACAGAAATTAGATCATCGGGGAGGCTGTTGTCAATTTATTCCAGAAGTCTTATCTCCTTTTATTACCTCCCCTTTTTTTAAAAAAAAACTACTGTAACTTGGCAAACGACTGCTGTGGTTTCAGGTCCACTATCAGCATTACAGACATTCAAACAAATCCTACTTTGGGAATACATGGCCGCCAGGGAATTTTTCACCTCTTAAACCCAGAGGTAAAGCGATAGAAATCTACAACATTGCACCATTCCTTTCCATCAGAAAAAAAATCATTTGAGTCTGAGCAAGCATTAGAGTGAACTGTCTCACTTCGGTTCACTTCCTCGCCACTTCGATCTCTCCAGCCCTTGGGCCATTATGCAATTTAACTTAGGACCCAAAGGTAGAAAGACTGCATTCAAGCTGTTCCCCCAATATGGGCCCAAATCCAACTGAATTTGAAAAGAAGCCTGACTTGCACTCTCACTCAAGCTACAAGTGAGAATATATATGTGTACAAAAAAGTTAGGATGCAAACACCACTATGATACAAGGACACGGTGCTTTTATCGCTTTCCGGGATGTAACACTTTCTCCACTTCCCCCTCCCGGTCGGTGTACAGTGCACAATGATTCTAATGCCATTTCTGTTTAAATTCCACTGTGCAACATGCTAGCTTAGGTAAGTATTATAAATACACTGTACAGGAATTTGCATCATTTACCCCAAGACGACATGCATCTAAATGCTCCATTTACCCAAATGAAGATTGGGGTCGTACTATGGAAATTGGTGCCACAAGAGGCAAAGTAAAATACCCCAGAGGCTAAGGGAAGATCTACCAAACTGGGTGTTGCAAGCTTAACATCTTTGGCTTAAAATCCAATTTTCCCCCTTGACATAGAATACCCAAGTTTGGCTTCATTGTTGAAGAACGACATTAAGCCAATGTAAGTCTGGATGAAAAGGGGTCGCTCTAGGATCAGCACTCCATTGGCCAGGCCCGGCAGTGGTGTCTCTTTGTGAGCTTTCTTCACAGCTTGGATTAACTGGGTTTTAAAATTCTCCAACTAGAATGTAATCAAAAGAGATTCAATGCAGAGTAAGTCATTATAAAAACTAACCCATTGGACAATACAGTTTTAGCAATCAGAAAGCAAATGGGCTGAATATTAAAACAGATCTTGAAATTATGTTTTCATTCCCAAATTATGCAGTCCCGTTCTCAAGTTTGTACTGTCGCTGAAGATAAGGAGAAACCATTTTAAGAGTACAAAGCCCAGTCCGAAGTACTTCCTGGACTGCCTGTGAGATCTTAATGTTTAAGAATTAGACTTTTAAGAACTCCTTAAAAAAGAAAAATTAACTAGCGTTTCACTGTCACGGTAGTAGAGCTCTGCTTTCCTTAACTCAGTTCTGGGACAAAATGATTCAGAGTGCGCTGTATTATTGCAGTAGCCTGTTCTGAAACATGCTCAACCCTTCTTACCTGGCAGAGGGATGCAATCTTTTCATCTGCGTTTGCCATGGGATGTTCGGTGAAGGTAGCATAGGGCATGTTGGTGGACCATGGGTTCCAGCGGTTGAGAAAGGATGGCATGCCTCGCTTGTCCCACTGGACACGTATCCCATCCCCCTCTCTCCTGTAGAAACAAATTATAAGTCAACTCTCCACATCTTCATTTTATTTAGCATTGACTTCTGTGGCTAAGGTTGGGCATTAGTTTCTGTAAAATACATGTTACTAATCCTTGCATTTTTGATAAAGCGCCTTATCACGTCTTCGAGATGTCTCAAAGTGCTTCACAGAATATACTGTGAAGCAAATTGACTGTATATTTTGTGGGAGAAACTTACTTGTTGAGAGATTTGGGAGGGAATTCAAACTTGCCGATGGAAATGGTATCCACTGCGTTAAGAGAAACCCGGATAACCTGTTGACAGATGAGGCTGATGAAGTCGTACTTGCAGACTAGCAAAGAACGATCGGTGATGAGCACGAGTCTCTCCTTCTCGTTGTTCCAATGGTCAATCCTGTACCACAGCGAGAAAATACAATGGTGAAACACATTGTAATGTTCTGGAAACAATTTTTTAAAAATTATTATTGAACAGCATTCATTCTTTGAAGACTCCAGAGGCCTGGAATCTGACCCAGCCTTAGCCTTTTAAAATGTTTAGATTGTCCAGAATTGTGAAAAATTCTTCAATTCAGTTGAATGTGGAAGCTAGTTTTCTGCCAGTTCTTTTAAGAACCAGCTTCCAAGTTAACACAATTTAAGGATTTGTCACTCTTAAACTTTGACAAGGGATCTAATTTAACGGATTGCAAGGTTTCTTTAAGGATTATATATCTGGTTCAACAGAATCAAGTGGTTATTCCAACTAATTGTTTTATAAATCCAATTTTTGTAAAAACAATTATGTTAAATTATATTAAACTAAACTGCTGGCTGTTTATTTATTTGAATGTATTTAATACAGACAAAGGGATTATTGTCCCTTTTAGTATCAAGCCGCATAGCACGCTGCTCAGTCTGCTGTAGAATAACTCGTCTGGTGCTCTTTCATGCAGTCTACACTGACATCTTCTGAGTTCCTGCAGTAATTACACTCTCGCAAGATAATTTATCTGCAATGCCTTTCTCAGGCATAAGATAACAGGCGTCTCGTGAACACTTTACAGGCTATTAAATGTTTCTTTCATGATGGTGATACTCCTGCATACAATAGGCACTTTTAAATGGGAAAAAAAGTACTTTGATCTGTTTTAAGGGATTGATAAGGAAAATGGATACCTATTTGGTAAAAAAATGTAATTGAGTATGATAATAGTGTAGAAGCAGTTATTTAACAAAAAAAACCTGCAGACTAACTAGATGAACTGCAAGGCTTTTGCAGTATGTTCTTGTATAAGGTTTATTTAGAGCTATTATTAACAAATACTGGACCACACCCTACTCAAAAACCAGAGACATCTAATCGTGAAAGATAAATATCACTTTTCGTAACATCTTGACCCTCTGATTCCAACACTGAATTCCATGACAAACTGGAATGACATCCAAATAGGAATAGCAAGGTTAGTTAGAAACTAGTTAGCAATTATTCCAGATTTGCTCCAGCCTTTGCAGACTTGCACTCACTATTTGGTTCACAGAAAAACCCTCCCACTTACTCAGTCAGCAACCACACACTTTGCACTCCTCCATCTTCTGTTGGCATAACAATGGATTGAATGTCAGTGACGGCTTGCTCGATGGTTCCTGGCTGATGAGAGGAAAGAGAAGGCTGGCTGTTAAAGAGATTCCAACTCACCCATTAACCTTTTAGAAACCCAAAAAATTCGATAACATCACCCCTTACATACACAGAAAGACATTCCTGTTGGTATCTATCCCATTCCCTGTAAACACAGTGGGGGGGAAGAAGTGATAAGATCTACTGCAACCAATTGGGCGGTGGACTTCGAACCTGAGATGTTCATCCTACCTGTATAGATGCAAGATGCTGCTCACGGCAAGGAGAGACTTCGTGACACTGTAACATGGGGGGAGGGGTTGATGCAGTACTTAAAGGTGGGGGGGGAAAAGGGATCAAACGGTGTGCGTTTGGTGCCCAGTATCCATTTTCACAATATTGACCAGCTCACTGAGGAAGCTGATGTTCCAGGAGCATTGATAGACGCCATTTCGGTGGGACATTAAGTTCCTCTCTGTGCTTTGCTCAGGCGGATGTTAACGATCCCACGGCACTATTGGAAAAGAGAAGGGAGTTTCTCTCTCCAGGTCGGTGTCCTGGCCGACAATCCCCTGGATAAAATCGGTTATTTACCTCCTGGCTGTTTGTGGGGATGCTGCTGCGTGCGAATCAGATGGCGTGTTTGATAATAATAATAATAAACATTTGATATAGCGCCTTATCTCATCATCAGGACATCTGAAAGCGCTTCACAGGATATACTGTAGAGTGAAATGACTGTACAGTATATTTTGTGCCTGCAAAATCCTGCGGAACGCAGCGAGGCATCTCGACGACGTGACAAGGCGCCGTATCAAACACAAGGAAAGAAACAGGAACTGTCACACGGTGATCATTTTGTAAGTAATAATAATAATAATAATAATGCTTGCATCTGAAATGCGCTCTGGGACCCCCATTGGCTGCCGTGTTTCGCCCACAAAAATACACAGTTTACTCAGTACGTTCTGTGAAGCGCTTTGAGGCGACTCGACCACATGATAAGGCGCTACATCAAATGCAAGGATTATTATTATTATTGCTCTCTCGCACTCTCTCTCACTCCCGCACACACGCACGCACGCGAATTACACGGTCACTACACTGCACGCAGTACGTTCTGCAGAAGCACTTTGAGGGGCGTCTCGACGACGTGACAACAACAACAAGAGCGCCTTTCATGTCGGGAGGATGTCCCCAGGCGCAGGACAAGGCGCTATATCAAATGCAACGATTATTATTATTGTTGTTATTATTGTTGTTGTCATTGTTATTATATTGTTAATGTTATATTATTGTTATCATTATTATTATTGTTATTATATTATTGTTATATTATTATTGTTATTATAATTATTGTTGTCATTATTGTTGTTAGTGTTATTATATTATTGTTATATTATTGTTATTATATTTTTGTCATTATTGTTATATTATTGTTATTGCATTATTATTGTTATATTATTGTTATTACATTATTATTGTTATTACATTATTATTGTTATATCATTGTTATTACATTATTATTGTTATATTATTGTCATTATTATCATATTATTGTTATTATATTATTGTTATTATATTATTATTATCATATTATTATTGTTATTATATTATTGTTGTCATTATATTATTATATTATTATTATACAGTGTCATTATCGGGTCGTTGTAAACACAGAGAGAGAGAGAGATAATATATTGCATTATTGTTGTTATTATTATATTATTGTTGTCATATTATTATATTATTACGACAGTGTCATTATCGGGTCGTTGTAAACACAGAGAGAGAGAGAGAGAGAGATAATATATTATTATTGTTATTATTATAATATTATTGTTGTCATATTATTATCATTATTATCATTAGAGAGAGAGAATATATTATTATTATTATAATATTATTGTTGTCATATTATTATCATTATTATCATTAGAGAGAGAGAGAGAGAATATATTATTATTGTTATCATTATATTATTGTTGTCATATGATTATCATTATCATTAGAGAGAGAGAGAGAATATATTATTATTGTTATCATTGTAATATTATTGTCATATTATTATTATTATTATCATTAGAGAGAGAGAGAATATATTATTATTGTTATCACTATAATATTATTGTCATATTATTATTATTATTATCATTAGAGAGAGAGAGAGAATATATTATTATTGTTATTATAATATTATTGTCATATTATTATTATCATTAGAGAGAGAATATATTATTATTATTATAATATCATTGTTGTCATATTATTATCATTATTATCATTAGAGAGAGAGAGAATATATTATTATTATAATATCATTGTTGTCATATTATTATCATTATTATCATTAGAGAGAGAGAGAATATATTATTATTATTATAATATCATTGTTGTCATATTATTATCATTATTATCATTAGAGAGAGAGAGAATATTATTATTATTATAATATCATTGTTGTCATATTATTATTATCATTAGAGAGAGAGAGAATATATTATTATTGTTATTATTATAATATTATTGTTGTCATATTATTATCATTATTATCATTAGAGAGAGAGAATATATTATTATTATAATATCATTGTTGTCATATTATTATCATTATTATCATTAGAGAGAGAGAGAATATATTATTATTATTATAATATCATTGTTGTCATATTATTATCATTATTATCATTAGAGAGAGAGAATATATTATTATTATAATATCATTGTTGTCATATTATTATCATTATTATCATTAGAGAGAGAGAGAGTATATTATCATTATAATATTATTGTTGTCATATTATTATCATTATTATCATTAGAGAGAGAGAGAATATATTATTATTATTATAATATCATTGTTGTCATATTATTATCATTATTATCATTAGAGAGAGAGAGAGAGAGAGAGTTTAATTAAATGCCATTACAATCAGGAGCGCGCGGCCCTCACCCTGAAGACAAAGTAGTCCCTGACTCGGGCCTGTAACGTGGGGTCTTTGATGCTGAAGGGTTTCAGGGTCTCGGCCCCCGGGGCTGCTGTGGGCCCCGGTTCCCCGCGGGCCTCGGCCTGGGAGTCGGCGGCGGCGGCGGCGGTGGGGGGGCCCGGGCCCGGGTGCGCGGCGGGAGGCCCGGGCGGCCCCGCGGGGCCGAAGCCCAGGCCGATGCCCTCCGTGGGCAGGAGGACGGCGGCGTCGGGCTCCATCGAGTCGTTCATCTGCAACATGGCGGCGGCGGCGGCGGCGGCGGTGAGGGGCGGGAGGTGAGGGGCGGGAGCCCGAGGCCGCGGCCCGAGCGAGAGAGGGAGGGAGGGAGGGAGGGAGACGGTGCGAGCGGCAGCGGGAGGCGGGGGATAGGCGGGGCCTCGGCCCGGGAGGGGGAGCGGCCTGAGAGCGGGGCAGAGCCTGGCACTGACCCCCTGACCTGGCACCGAGCCTGGCACTGACCCCTGACCTGGCCCCGAGCCTGGCACTGACCCCTGACCTGGCACCGAGCCTGGCACTGACCCCTGACCTGGCCCCGAGTCTGGCACTGACCCCTGACCTGGCCCCGAGCCTGGCACTGACCCGCTGACCTGGCACCGAGCCTGGCACTGACCCCTGACCCGGCCCCGAGCCTGGCACTGACCTGCTGACTGGCCCCGAGCCTGGCACTGACCCCTGACCTGGCCCCGAGCCTGGCACTGACCCCTGACCTGGCCCCACCCCGAGCCTGGCATTGACCCAGGACCTGGCCCCGAGCCTGGCACTGACCCCTGACCTGGCCCGAGCCTGGCACTGACCCCTGACCTGGCCCCAAGCCTGGCACTGACCTGCTGACCCGGCCCCGAGCCTGGCACTGACCCCTGACCTGGCCCCGAGCCTGGCACTGACCCCTGACCTGGCCCCGAGCCTGGCACTGACCCCTGACCTGGCCCCAAGCCTGGCACTGACCTGCTGACTGGCCCCGAGCCTGGCACTGACCCCTGACCTGGCCCCAAGCCTGGCACTGACCTGCTGACTGGCCCCGAGCCTGGCACTGACCCCTGACCTGGCCCCGAGCCTGGCACTGACCCCTGACCTGGCCCCAAGCCTGGCACTGACCTGCTGACTGGCCCCGAGCCTGGCACTGACCCAGGACCTGGCCCCGAGCCTGGCACTGACCCCTGACCTGGCCCTGAGCCTGGCACTGACCCGCTGACTGACCCCACGCCTGGCACTGATCCACTGACTGACCCTGAGCCTGGCACTGACCCGCTGACCTACCCCACGCTTGGCACTGACCCACTGACTGACCCCGAGCCCAACACTGACCTCCACCCGTGATCTACCCTGAGCCTGGCAGGAGTGGCCTGAGGACGGGGCAGTGACGGGCTTTGACCCCGAGCCGGGGAGAGGAGGGCGGCGACCCCGTGGGGCATGGCCGAAGAGGAAGGTCTTCAGGTACGATCAGGACGGGGGGAATGAACCCCTTCAAAAAAAATAACAACAACAGTCTGTTGGTCACTCAACCCGCGACCGTTGGGGAGACCCTGCCGGGCGCAATGGGCCGGAGCGTTCCGCCCGCAAAACATGCGGTCACTACACTTCCCAGTAAGACGTGACCGGGCGCTGCATCAAATGCAAAGATTAAGTGATTATTGTTAATTGTTTTTTCTTCTGTCAGGTCGTGATCGGGCACTCAGCGATGGGGTGGTGGGGGGTGCGGAGGTGGGGGGGGGGGGCTGCAGAGGAGGGGGTGCGGAGGGTGGAGGGGGGGCCGCGGAGGGAATTAATTCATGGTTTGTGTTCCGAGGGCCACCGCCCAGTATACAGTACAGCAAAACCCAGTCTCTTCATGTTCTCCCACTGGATGGCGGTGCATTCCTGAGCGAAGGAACGAACGGCAAATTAACTTCGCGTTTATTGGGAAACCAGAGGAAGGTTTGGCAATAAAATAATGCAACGATAACCCCCGCATATCATTCGGCGTAGTGCCCACAATATTAAAACGACGCTTCGCGGACAATTACTACCGAGTGCGCTGACCTCATTAGGAAAACACAACAGCCGGTTTCTGCACGGAAAGGTCTCGGAACGCAAATATGAAACGAATAACTCATTTACGCTGATGATTGTTGGCCCGAGAGAAACTTCCTGCTTTTTTGTTTTTGAATCGCGTTACGGGACCTTTTGACATTCACCCGAACGGGCAGTCAATCCGTCTGGATGTGCATAAAGCAACCGAAAGGATGAATGTTGTCTTAATGTTAATATAAAATTATGCAGACGTACCACAGAGATTATACTTGGGAAGCCACAAAAAAGTGCAAACCTTAACCTGGGAATCAACGTGTTTCGCCTAAAAATAAATCAATGACTGCACTTGACAATAATAACTGCAAGACAAGTGGTTCGAGGTGTTTCAAGCCAGCATTAGTTGGTGCAGCACAAGAGAAGTAACATAAAATTAAAGGAATAGCAAATGGATTTAGTTTTATTTTACGTTTCATTCCCTGAACAGGAATACTGTATTAATTTAAGTGGATGTGGCAGTTGGAGGATAAGTGCATTTTTTATTAAATCTTTGACATCCGGCGATTGATGTCCATTAAAGTCTACTTTACTTTTATTGCTTAGCACTGTTGGGTGGAATTGGAGACAGTTCAAAGCCAACTTGTGTCAATACCTCTTGAAGCACAGTTCCAAAGCTGCACAAGCCGGTTCCGGTTTCAGCTATTATATCAGAAACAGGATTTTCAATGTTTTTATTATAAATCTCTCGTGAAATGTGCAGTTGTAAGCACAGTCCTCAACTGCTCTCGCTCGGAGTTTATGATTGCAGTTACATTTTTTTTACCATGTGAATTCGCTTTCGCACTGAATGTGCCGTATCTGTTTGTGATGGTGCACAACTTTGCGCTCGGTGCAGTGCCTTCAATATTGCAATGCCTCCAAAGTATTTCACGTGTAATTCCTGTCAAGGGTAGTGACTGTATTTTGCAGGCAAACACGGCAGCCAATTTGCACACAACAGTATCCCACCAACAGCCTCGAGGTGAAGTGAATGGCCAATTTATCTGTTTTTCTGTCCAGGACACCGGGAGAAACTCTTGCCCAATAGTGTTGCGCGATGTTTAATGTCCAGTGCATATCAAATGTAATGAAAAGGAGCTATGAATTAACAATGTTTTTTTAATTGAATCATTAATCTGTACCTGTAATTATGTTAAATCATTATATTTATCCTTGTGTCTCAAGGCATCTTGGTTCAGAGTTACGTTAATGAAATCTTCCACCTGAAATTCTCTCAGTACAGGATTGCAAACTAACTGCTGGGTTTCACTTACAAAATACAAATATGGTTACTGTGTTGACAGTAAATCCCGTGAAGCCTCTTCGAGACGTCTCAAAGCGCTTCACAGAATATACTGTGAACCGGGTGGGGGGGTGGGGGTGGGGGAGGTGACTGTATATTTTGCGGGCGGAAGGCGGCAGCCAATTGCGCAAATGCAAGTTGTCGCTGTCGCTGTTGCTGTTGCTGTTGTTGTTGTTGTCATTTTAAGTACCTCATTATTCTTTTGAGTGGATGGGAAGAGGTGCCCAGTCCCAGGCTCCTCCTGCTGGGATGTGAGAGAGAGAGAGTGAGGGAGAACCAGGCGGGCTTTAGGACATCGTACATCATCTGGACTGTGTTGTGTGGATTGTTTGAGACAACTTCTCTCTCTCTCTTTCTCTCTCTCATTGCTATCAAAGTGAATGTGGATTTGTCTCTAAACGCCCCTTCCGCATGGGGTTCAGAGCAGAGTCATGGTAGCAACTGGAGACACGTTCAAAGGTGTATTATCCCTTCTCCTCTGCCAATTATATTAAAAAAAAGAGGAGTTAGATCAGATTTTTTTTTTAAAAAGTTCCTAGAAAACATCTCATCTTGGAATGACTTCCCCAGGAAGAAAGCAGTGACATTTTTTTTAAGAAAAATTCATTGATTCATTGATTCATTCATTCATTCATTCACAGGAGGTGCAGAGAGAAAGAGAGAGAGAAAGAGAGAGAAAGGAGGTTATTTCTCCTCCTTTTGAAGCAGAAATAAAGAAGAGGGAGAGAGAGAGAGAGAGAGAAATCCTACACACATTCCTTCCTGGAAGCTGTGTGGCTTATTGGATGCTTGTCGGTTTCAGTGGGGACTTTGCTCTGTTCAGCAGCTGATGGTATATTTTAGGGGAACTTCTGCAATTTCGAAAGAGCCACACAAGAGTCGAGAAATAAGAAACTTGCACAGAGGAAACCAGACCAGGAATCCAAAAGACATGGCTTCACAAGTGTCACTGGTGCTCCTGTTTTGCACAATCCCAGCTTTTAACTCTGCAAACCTCCAGCCTTACATGTAAGTAGTGATTTATTTATTCCAACAGAATAAATGGTGAACAAGGGACCCCCCCCCACCCCCCCAAAGAAAAACACACACGTTTGAAACGACAAGGTTGGCTTTAACCTGCAGGTTTTATTCCCTGCAGGCACGGTTGGAGAATGGTGATTTATTTGCTGGTTTAAAGAGAAATCAATTGAAACGTGTGCGTTGTGTTTTTAGTGGTGGGGGGGGGGACGTGGCTTTAATCTGGACTTTCAGTTTGGATGTGTTTGGATGTTTTATTTGAGGGAAACGTACTGATTGATGGAGCTGAGTGTCTATCTCAGAGTGGCTCTCAGTGTTTATCTCTCTCTGTCTCTGTGCGTTTAAACGCACAGTGGCAGCTCTGATGGTCTTTGGCTCGACTTCGCTTCTCAGTGAGACAGTTAACATGGCTCAGTATCTGTCTCGGTTGGGAGACAGACAGACAGACAGACAGACACAGAGAGAGACAGAGACAGAGAGAGAGAGGTGTGATGTGAAACTCAGCAGTGGGTGGGGGTTGTGCAAAACAAAAAGTTTGCCCCAATTATAAGTTTCATTGAAGTTTTTGGGTTTTCAAGTTGATTCAAACAATCCAACTTTTACAGTGCGTCTCTTTTGTTTGCATTGCATTTCCCACACGTCGTGGGCGCACTACACACACACACACACACACACACGGGAACCAAACCAAACCCACCAAATCCACTCACTTGGAACGGTTTTTTTTAAAAAAAGAAAAGAAAAAGAACCGTTCAGTCAGTGGAGCTCTGTGCTTTATCGTTTGTTTGGGGCTGAGGTTTTATTTATTGGGGTGAGTGTGTGTGAGTGTGTGTGTGGGGGTGTGAGAGAGAGAGAGAGTGAGAGAGGATGGAATAATCTTTGTGTCACCTGTATTTTTCTAAACTGCGAACTCTTTATGTTCGCGTTTTGTCTTCATCTTTCGAGATGAAAAGAGTTTAAATCCCCTCCTCTCCCCCTCCCCTTCTCTCTCTTTGTCAGTGCACAGTCGAACTGGGTCGTTCATTGTCACACGTTGCATTGTGTACACACCACCCTGGGCTGGAGAGGACAACCACAGGGAACTCAGGCTGGCTCTAAAGTGTCCTCATTTTCAACAGAGACCAGGGCTTGGGGTGGGGGGGGGGGTGGGGAGGGGGGTGGGCATGTGTCAGAATTAATAGTCATTAATAATTAATAATACAGAGTCTTGTAGCTCAGTGGTTAGAGCGCTCGCTTTGCAAGCGAGAGACCTGAGGTCAATTCCAGGCAGAGGGCGAAACCTCGGGCAAGTTTCCTTACTCCACACGGAGCCCGAATAATAACCCCTCCCAAACCCCAAACAATAATGAATTGGTCATTTTCAATCCACGGCTGTTTGTGGGACATTGCTGTGCGCAGTCGGCTGCCGCGTTCGCCCCCAAATATGCAGTCAATTCACTTTACAGTGTGTTCTGTGAAGCGCTTTGGGACGTCCTCCCGACGTGAAAAGCGCTATATCAAATGCAAGCATTATTATTATTACTATTAACCTCAATACACCGCACGCCCCTGTGCATGGCCCAAGTTCTGGCCACTAACCTGCTTCTTCCAGGCAATTAAGGCTGTAACATAAATCTGGTGTGAGCGGTTGCACATTTGGTTGGATTCGCGACCGCGGCTAAAAGATTCCTCACGCGAACACCTTCAACATGTTTTGTGCGCCTTATGTCATCAGCCCACCAAGTGCATTTATGGGCCATCCACATTTTGTACGTCTCGCCCCCCACCCCTTCTTTGCCTACCCTCATCCCGTATTCCCGCGCCACGAATGACACGTTTAGACCGCGCCGCTGCTCAGCGCGCCAAAACTGAAACGAAATCCTGTACACGTGGAAAATTGGGCCGTCTTTTCTCCTGTAACTAATCGCTTCCATCGCTTGACACCCTAAGCAACCTTTTGGAGCGTGCGGAGCCACCCAGCTCCCACCGACGTGCAATGTTGGCTGTTGACGGAAGATCGCTGCGTGCAAACTGGCTGTTGCGTCTGCCTGTAAATGCACAGTCACTACACTTTACAAAAATCCTGTTGCAGTGGTTCGAGACAATTCAGTGAAGTGAGGATGAGGCACTGTATCAAATGCAAGACTGTTATTATTCATTACTCTCGTCTTGGTCTCCATCTGCTCTTATTTCGGCCGGGTGGGGAGGGAGAGGAAGAGAAGATATGTACAGACACTCCCTCCCCCCCCCACCCCCGCCCTGAAGGATATTTGAGCAAAACGAGAATATTTACCCACCTTCCCACTCCCAATCTGTCGGTAGTCCCACGTGGGATTGAGCCAAACTTGCCAATGACATTGACTAGCTCTTGCAGAATGGATCTACCACCAATTTAATCTTTTTTTTTGTTCCGAACCCTTTGTAGGCCCAATGTTTGTGCCGAGAAGGAGATGATGATGGTTGGGCACAGGCAGCCATGTATCCAGGCCTTCACTCGGATGGTCAAAGTGTGGAAACAAGGCTGTCGAGGTCAGATGTCATGCATAGGGTATGAAAGAAGGTACGTAAGTGCCTCTGGCCCAGTGGCTGAGCAACAAATAATATTAACTCCAAGCCCATTATATTTGCTGCTATGTTAGTGAATGGGTTTTGGGTAGTGTTTGTTGTGCGTGTGTGTGTGTGTTTGGTATGTGTGTGTGTTTGTTGTGTGTGTGTTTGGGGGCGCGGAGGGGTGGGTAGCTACGCAAACTCCATTTTCAAGTTTTTGTTGGGGGGTGAGAAGGAAAACAAAAACGCATTTAATAAGCTAGCACTCTCCTCTGATCAAAATTTACCAAAATAATTGATTAATTAGCCATTCGCCTCATTCAACTTTTACAGATTAGCTGTCGCCTTTTCCCACAGAACAGTCGCTACCTTTCAATATAACTCTTTGTGGTGACATGCTATGAGTTATATCAAATGCATGGATTGTTATTATTATTATTATGCAAATATAATCTTGATTTCGTGTGAAAAGTGACTTCTTATTGAAGAATTTTCTCCTTCAACCCTTTTTCAGGCGAAGCTTGACAAACATTGACAAATTACCAATGTTAACTCTTCACAAGTGCTCCAGGCGGCCACTGGGTGGGGGGTGGGGGGGGGCACACAACAACATCAACAACTTGTATTTATATAGCGTTGCGGGCTAGTGTCCCGGAGCATGACAGCTGCTTATCCGGTCTCCAGCCACAAGAAGAAAGACACTAATTGCTCTATTCAAAGAGCTGGCACAAACTCGATGGGCTTAATGGCCTCTTTTTTGTGCTGTACAATTCTATGATTCTATGACCCCTAGTTTGTGTCAATGGGCTCTCAGCACCTGAGATTAAGAACTCAGCACGGACTGAACCTCTGTATGGAGCCCAGGTCCAGGGGCTTTTGAGTGGAACACCCCCAATACACAGTGCACTTAAAGCAAAACTCCTTGATTGAAGTTGGGCTGTTTCCAAAGCTTTGTAACTCTCTCTCCACCCCCCCCCATCCCTTCACCTTACCCCTTCCTCCTTTTTTTGATCACAGCTGAAGGCCTTCCTCTTCGACCGTGCTTACTGTCACCTCCCTTCCCCCAGCTCAGCTTCAGGCTCCGCCACTGTTAAACGCTTCGTGAAGAGAGCTGTGTAAACGCAAGTTTTTGTTGTTGTGTTGTTGTGTCAGCCTCCTTTAAGATGTCTGCCTTCTTCCTATACAGGGTGGGGGGGGCTAAGGGTTAATATGGCTCTGTCCCCGCTCACTGCCTGATGACCAGCAGTGTGCACATCTGTTCGTGTTGCCATGTGTGCGCTGCCTTTATTGCTATGATTGCGTGTACACAAATGTGTACACGTTTACTTCCTGCCCTACGTTGTGGGTTCAGTTGCGCAATCACAAGTCAGATAAGATCACCAAAAACAGAAGGACAGAACGCACACAGGGATGCCCGGAGAGAGAGAGAGCGAGAGGGAGAGAGAGAGAGACTCTTATTGGTTCTCGTTTAAGGATTAGCTTTTGGGTGACATTGTGCTTTTGTTGACTCGGGCCAAATCTTGACCATTCTAAATCCTCCCAATAATTGGTCTGTCACCTACTGTCATGGGGATTATGGATGGAGGAGGAGAGAGGGAGGGGGGGTGGGGTGGGAGGTAATCAGTCACTGGGAACCTGCTGAACCTGCTGTGTGTAGGAATCTAAAGGAGAGGCTCACTCTGTCAGCCGGGGGTTGCGGTGACTAATATCAAGAGAATTAGTCGCCCCCTGGGAAGAAGCAGGCGTTTTCTTAATTAGTGGGAATGACTTTAAAGTGATTTTTTTTTTATTTTGGTCAGCCGGGTGTCTGACACATGCGGAAACTCATCACCCATGCTTAACAGTATCCAAACCCAACTGAGAATTCCATGCATCCCACCTGTACATGGACGTGGACATTCCAGAGATAGATTGGTGGAATGGAATGCACACTCTCTCTCTCTCGCTCTCTCTCTCTCTTCCTGGAGGGAAGCATCCTGCTTACTAAATTCCGGAATGTATTAGGCGCAGGTTGGCAAGAGCCAAGGCTTGGGGACCTCAGAGTGTGCTTTGGGGTAACTGCTGGAGTATAACCAGCTAAACCCACATAGCTTGCCATTGATAGCACCATTAGGGCTTTAGCTTGCGGGATTAACAGGAGCCGAGCGGAAGGATTCCCTGCCCCCAGTGACTGGCCTGCTCTTCCCAAGTCCCGCTGATGAGCCAGGCTGGCTGTGCTATCATCAGCCGTGTCCTGGAATATTGCTGTGGGCATTCTCGATATCGCTGCTCTGAATGTGCGTTCCCACAAGGCAGCGCAAAGTCCCCAAATCGCTGACTCTGGCTTTTGCTTCACAGAACCGCCTATTACACTGCCCATAGGCAAGTCTACAGCATGGAACTTCAGATGGTATCCAAATGTTGCTCCGGGTGGATGCAGCTCAACAATGAACCTGGATGCTTGTACCGTAAGTCTTCATCCGCTTTGTCAAAATGGCCCGAGATTCCATCTTGCGTTAACCAAGTCAGGCTGCGGAAAACCGGCTTCCAAATTCAGGTTGAATTTTAAGAATTTTCCACACTTCTGCTGAAGAATCTGGATATCCTAAGTGGTCTCGCAGGCTAAGACTGAATGGAATTTGAAGTCTACGGTGTCAGCCCGGTTCACTTGATACCACGTGGGTCAGAAGGTTGTGAATTCAAGCTCTAACTTGGGACTTGAGCTTACTGCGGAGGGGGGGGGGGGGGGGGTGGGGGCGGTGTGTGTGTGTGCTGCAATTGTCAGAGGTGTCGTGATTCCGATGAGGTGTTAGACAGAGGTCATGTCTCTATCTGCCTGCTCAGGAGGATGTTAAAGATCCCGAGCAGATGTCTGTTTGTGCACCGCTCGCTGGTCACTGACAGAAACTGATACTATTCACATTCATCTGCAAATTTGCCCAGTCGTTGCCAGCAGCTGATTAAATATTAAGCGTTCTGGGTTCTGCCCCACTCTCCCTGGACACACATCGCATCACTGTGACTGTCTCATCGATATACCTTCTTTACTGTGGGGGTTGTTGGCTTGAAAGTGGGAATTGTTGGGGTCGGTGAGGCGGGGGCGTGAGGGGCTGGGAGGAGGCTGTGGGCGAGTGAGATCACAGTCTCATTCCTGGAGACCGTGTCTGGTTCCCGTAGGGCAGTCTGTTACAGCACCCCACTCACTCTGTCCTTGCGAGCTCTCAGCTGATGCCCTTGTTTGTATTAAAACACCAGGGAGAAGCATTCAACCAAATATTTCATCTGGGATCATTGCTGTGAGTCAGCTCACTTCACATCTCTATAATTAGATTAGTTTAATCGCTTTGGCTTGACTCTTTTGGTGTGCAGACCTCATTTCCTTCTGCAGTCAGACTACTTTTCTCTCTCTCTCTCTCTCTCATTTTTCCAGACTCCAATTTTTTTCACAGACGGAGAGCTTTATTAGGAAAGCGAGCGTCTGATTGGCAATGTTTTCAGAGAGAAGTATTTGTGTTGTTGATAATAACATTCCTCCTATTTGTTGCGGCGCCCATAAATGTCAAGAAGTCTCAAAGCCCTTCACGGGCAATTGTTGACAAGTACAGTCGACTGTGTATTTGTTACACAAATGCTCATCCAAAGGGTGTTTCGCCCACAAAATACACAGACCGTTCACCTTGCAGTATATTCTGTGAAGCGCTTTGAGACGTCCCAACGACGTGATAAAGTGCTCGATCAAAATGCAAGGATTATTATTCCATAGAGCACTTCACAAGATATAATGTAAAGCAGAGTGCCTGTGTTTTTGTGGCCGAATGTCACAGTGTGTTTTGTGGGGGCTTGAACCCACAAGCTCCTGAGCCAGCAGCAGAGTTGCGACTGACTGAGCCAGACTGAGGGAGGGGAGGGCTCTCCGCAGGAATCGACGCCTTCAGGAGAGGAGACGGGATGTTGAAAGCTTTCTTGCCTCCCTTTAGGAAGCCGTTTCCTCCTTATTTCACTTGTGGTAAACAGCACATTCCTCAGCAGTGGATGTCGAAATCCACCATCAAAAGAGCTTATCTCCAGCAACCGAGTGAACTGTGATTGCTTTTTAATCAAGAGTAGAGAAAAAAATGAAAGGCAGCTCACATGGTGTGCACACTTCTGTCCCGCACACAGGAACCTCTCAAAACTTTCCAAACAACCTGAACAGGAAGAGTTCAGGCTTTGATTCACGTTTTTTTCCACAACTTTGTGAATGGGACATTTTTATCTGGGTTGGGGAAGGAGAGGGGTGGGGGGAAGAGTTAGCTGCGGGTTACCAGCGATCTATGTTCTTACTGCAGAAGAAAGAGATTAAATGCTTTGATATGACAGCGGATTTCAAGTACTGTATTTCAACAGGGTCTCATTAGAAAAGGCACTGGAAGTTCAATGCTACTATTGTAGAGGATGATTTCTGCGCTTGTGTTAGGTGCATCGGTTACAAAGGGCTGCTGGCCTTATCCATTGAGCAGGAAGCCTCGTGAGATGCTGCCTCTGCTTTTAGGTCCCTCCGGTGTGTAATGATACCCTTCAAGCACCCGACAGATAGTTAGAAATTTGACAACTGTTAAGAGTCCTTGTGTGAGTGTGTATATCACTGTGAGTCAATTGACGTATCTGTTTCTTTCTCTCTCATCTTCTTTGAAGGTTCTGCTCTGTATTCAGTTGGGGTGGGGGGGGGGATGGGAAGTAAAATAGATTGCTGTACTATTATTTGTGTTTCTCAAAGGGCCCCCGTCCATGAAAGCCCCATTCATCTGCGCCTGTAACTGATACCCCTTATTCCAGGTTTGGCGTATCTCTCCAATATGGATTCAATTGTAACATGTCGCTTAATGTGCAAAGCGGGCGAGACGTCAGCAGGTAAATGAGAAGAGAATAATTGTCCATTTCGTGACACAAATGAGAACGATCTCCACACCTCTGGATTCCCCTGGATCCAATTAGCTGGAGGTTGATACCTGGGAAGTGAGGGCATCAAGAGGAAATGGGATTGAGCGATCGGCTATGATCTAATAACCTGACACAACAGCCTCTTAGGCGCTGAATGGAGTCCTCCCGGACTTGTAATATCCTTATATTTCATATAGCGCCTTATCACGTAGTTGAGACTTCCCAAAAGCTTCACAGAACACTCTGTTAAGTGAATTGACTGTATATTTTGTGGACGAGTCGTGGCAGCCGATTGCTCACAGCTCTGTCCCACAAACAGTCGAGTGAACAAATTGTTATTATTTTTTATATAAATGAGTCCTGCGTCGCCTCCCTTCTCCCTCACTTGGAGACGGAGTGCGCCACTGTGAAGCTCTCCCAAGACGTTACCCGACGTGAAGGACACTATATAATTGCAACCCGTTGCTGTATCCAGAGAAGCAGAATCGGTCTCTAGCTGTTGCCCTCATTTTTGCAGCCACCAAGAATCCTCATTGTGAAACTACTGGAAGGGAAGGACTTGGAAGATTGTCATGAAGCAATTCAAATATTAAATAACACGTATAAACAGAACAGAACAGGCCAGTAATATCCTTAACAGATGGTTTCCTGTTCATTGTGAACTGGTTGTAAGTGCCTGATAGAATGTCCATCAAAGAGGGAGTTTTGTCGCCAGAGCACTTCTAAGAATAACACAATTATAAATTATCATTACCCCCCAACCCCCACGTTTTGGTTTGTCGTCTTTGATGCAGTGACGTACGAATGTGCGAGGGCTGAAGGAATGTAGTGGGAAGAAACTGCGGAGCCTAACAGCACAGAGCTTGGTGCCAACACTTGGAGGTGTCTGCTTGGATCGGTTGGTAGCTCTCTCGCCTCTGGATCAGAAACTTGTAGGTTCAAGACCTGTATCAGGACCTTGAACTCAGAGGCTTGCCTGATGCAGTGCATTACTGAGGAGCGCCGGACTGTCAGAGGTGCCATCTTCTTGGACGAGATAGTAAATCAAGGTCTCCCCAGGGGAGAGACTGGGAGGTTGAGTCCTGTTATTGGGGCAGATGAGAGGTTTTGTTACCTCCACAACCAGCCCTTGTCGGAATACTCAATCTGAAATACAAGGATTGTTACTTGCCTTGCATCTTCCTTCCCCATCTTCAGGTCGTGCCTGAAGACCTTTCTCTTCGCCTGTGCTGCGGTCACCTCCCCCTCCCCCCGCTTGACGTCATTTCTCCGCCACTGTCAAGTGATCTGGGACACCACCCTGCGCGGGGGGGGGGCTATTTAAATGCAAGTTGTTGTTGTTATTGTTGCCAGTGAGGCTAAGAGCTCAGAGAGTACGCTAGGCTCCATTCTCGTGACTCGTTTACCTCTTATTTTGTGCGGAGGAATATTATAATTCATTGTAATTTATATTCTGCTCAGGACATATTCTACTGTAAGTTTGATTGCAGTTCAAGTATTTCGTGGAATCATTCCTGCTGGAAAAAAGCAGAGGAGGAACAGAAGTGGCATTAACCTCAATGAGGCGCCCAAACCTCAATCCCCTAACTGCTGATCCTGACTACATTTGTTTCGAATGTTAACGGAATTTGATTGTGATGTTTTTAACATCTGCTCAGATCCACGGGGCATCTGTTTTTACTTTAGCCATATTCTGGATTGAAAAGCGCCCTGTGCTGAGATGTTCGGGGTGGCAGCTCCAATAAACAGCAGAGAACACGAGCCTTGCAGGAGAAATCGTCTCTGTGGACAAGGTTAATCAGCGGTGAATGATTGACCAGCTTCCCCAGCGCTCATGTTAGATTATAAATAGCTGCCTTTGCAAGTCTTTTCCATTGGTTTGTCCTTGTGCGTTTTACCCATGTAGTTTATCTTAGAACCATTGGACTCAGACGTCACCATCTCCTCTGAGACTTCTGCAGCCGCTTTTCTTTTAATCGCTGGGGACACGGATTCTTCCCGCTCGTCTCCTGTGAACCCAGTGAGCCAATGCCCCAATGGGTAGGGTGATCCCGGTTGGACAAGCAACGGGAAGCTTTCCAACCAGCACTCTCAATGGCGCCCTATGTGGTTTCAGCTGGTTAAACTCCAGCAGTTATCCCCAACGCACACTCTGGGATTCCCTCCTTCTCCCCCCACACAGCCAACCTGTGCCTAATATTCCCATCGGGATAGAGAGTATGCATTCCATACCCGGCGCAGGGAGAATTCCACATACGGAAAGCAAGCAGACATGTCTGCAATCTCAGCCTGGTTTGGATACTCTTAAGCACGGTGATGGGTTTTCCCACGTGTCAGACAGACACCCTGCTGACCAAAAGGCTAATGCTAGACGTGTCCGCTTGAACTGTGGCCTAAAGTTTTTAACATGACACCCCACAGCCGTCTGATCTGGAGACGAGAGTGCTACCAACTGGGCCAAGCTCAGTGTTGCAAGGTTGACAGGGCTGACGAGCTCCTTATGACAGTCGCAGGAGTCAATGTCAGGGCACAGTTACAGTGAATCTTG